CAAGTCGCGCTGAATCACAACATCATCATCCAAAAAGACCACCTTCTCAAGGTTTGGGAAAAGCTGCATGACAAACACAACAGGCATAATTAGCTTCAGTATATGAAACATAACCTAATTTACACTTCCAAAAGGGAGAGTAAATACATAGAGTAATCAATATTGAATCCAACCTACCTCTGGTAGGTATATTCGCAGATGGTTGAGTAAAGATATGTACTTTGGGCTTCTGGCTTGCAACTTAGATGCAAATTTACGCGGACTTGTATCGCTGAGATTGGCTCCGGCAATATGATTTCCATGATAGTAATCCCTGATCCCGTTTTGATTTTCAACGGCTTCAAGTACGGGAACATTTTCTCTAGTCAACCAGTCAAACTGGTGAATACCTTTGATTTCAACTACAGCAGGGGAGGCTGAATTTAGCGCAAACCACGAGTGCATACCCGCATAAGTTTTTTTATCGGTGATTACATGGAAGACTATCTTTTCAGGTTTCAGAGATGACTGGACGGCAGAATTAACAACTACTGAAGCGGCCAAAATGTTATCGGTTGATAGGATAAAATGGTGGTAAGAGTTGTCGGAGAGTAAGGGAAGTAACTCTGGAGGTGGTAATTGTTTACGGGCATGAGCATTTGATGAATATTCATCCGTCAAACGCAAAGACAGACAATGAATCCCTTTAGGAATAGAACTTGCCGCAAAGTGTTTATTCATCAGCTCTGCAAACTTAGATTCTCTGACTTCTCTCTCAAATTTCTCCATCTGTCACAAGAACATAAGTTTAACAAAGAATGATATAATCATTTACACCAATGTAAACAAATATGAGGGAGCCATTGCAAGATAAATGGTAGTTTTTAATATAAAGGCATGCCTAAGGCCCAATAGATAGTACTTTTAAAATCAGTGGTGTCAACTGTAAAACAGTGGTTTGTTCAAATTTTGCTATGCTTCAGTGCTATGTTGTCTCTATTTGACAACACTTTGTACTAAGTAGTGTATCGAAGAACAATAGCAACGTACTAATTCCGCTACGGTATAGCACCGCTTAAGATGTAAGGAAAATATGAGTAATTCTCTTAGAAATGGTTTTCATATTTCCTTACATATCACGATTTGTTTCCATATTTAATTAGGAGTTTATAGGCTTATTGATTTGGCTACTCCAGTAACACCGAACATAGCATTCACATCATATCAATATAATTTATTATTGAGTATTCCTTTTCCTCCATGTATAACTGAAAGAGTGACCTTGTAACTTCAACAAATACAACTACTATGCTAAAATTCACACGTCAATCTAGTATATGCATATAAAAATTCTGGAAGTCCTAAAAGGATAGCGTAAACCAAGTATTACTAACTATATGTTTCTTAAAAAGATTGGGAAGGTTGGCCTTTACAAATAAATAGCTGCAATTTAACATATTTGAAAAACTTTTCTGGAGTGTTTTCGTGCAAATATTTTATGCACTCCCAAATTAGTCCATATATAGAACTTTTCTTCGAAAGAATCAGTCTCTTGACACTTTCTTATCCACACCAAAGAGCTAATGCACACCTAGTACCGAATGGCGACTCATCACCAGAGAGCATAGATATCTCAAGAATGCTTGAGGCATCAATCATCTTCCTAGCTACATGGTACTCCTCCTCCATGGAGTGTGAAGGAAAATGAGGTAGTGTCCTTTAAGGTGCGTTTGTGAGTTGGATTTTAGAGAGGAAGGCTTTGGAGGGCTAAGTCTATATTTTACTATTTTATATTTGGATTTTTAAAAAACTTGATCGAACAACATGACACATGAGCATATAATACCATGTTCTTTTAATTTTTTTAAATATTAAATATATATCAAAATATAGACTTAGTCCTCCAAAAACCAACTCGAAAACACAACTTTAGAGAACACAGTCCGCTCTTTTGTTGCCTGATTTTATCATAGAGTGTGTGCACCAATTGCTTGGTTGCAACAGCAGCCCTCTTTCGCCTTCTTTTATATGGTATGGGGCACCGCGGTGCGTCTGCATCAATTGCTTACGTTGAAAATGAAAATAAACATTTCTTCAGAAAGTAGTGATGATTGATACTAAAAATAATAGTAGTAATAATAAAGCCGCTAACCCATGTTATGCACTGGGGTTGCTCAGAACCAGTTTCTCATCTATTCTTAAGCTTTCCGGCTTCTATTTCTCTATGGAGCTCTTTTATTTGGCATTTTGGCAAATCCTAGGTGTTGCCACCAAAGTCTGTTGAAAATTTATCGCAAAAATATTTGATGCATTGGATAAAGGAGAAGGGGCTAAGTATTGTATGACAATGTGCAATCTATATACACTATGGTAAACATGGATGGAGCATAACATTATCCCCAAGAAATTTTTGCTTTGTTGTTTGTGTTTTCCTCTTACTTTCATTTAGTTTGTAATTTTTTCATGTTATCTTGACGAGTTTAATTTAACTTCTAATAAAAATAAAAGAAACATGTGGTATCGGATTCATAAACATGTATCAAAGAATAGAGTTCATGTAACTCAGATATTCTTTCAAATCTCTCTATATACATAAAATGAAAGTGTGCTTAAGACTTTGTTTTTCCAATGATCCCAAGCAAAAGCTCTATACTTACAATGCATTAGTTATCCCAACCTCAAAAAATGCTCAAACCCCATAATGAAAAACATGATGACAAAATGTGCTTTCCGCAAAAGCAAAATCTAATTTCCAATAAGACTTGAAAAATCAAAAGAATTCAGCATCAGACAACCATTTTCGTACAAAATACCAATTAACCACAAAACATACAATTCTTTATGTTAAATATAAGAAACTTACCATTCCCCTTAACATGAATGCAAAAGTTTTCGCATCATATTGGTGGTTCTTCATATCAGAAACAAGTTGATCAAAGGAATCTGGAAGCTTTAGATCAGGTGGAATTTCCCCAGTCTTCACTTCGTTAAGTATCTTGTAAAAATCTTTAACCAGTCTCTGCAGCAGCATTAATGTCAACATCACCCCAAGGGTTCAGATAATTGTTTTCAACCAAAACATTATTAGATGTATGATATAAATAGTAAGTTATATACTGTGACCAAAAAAATTATAGTAAGTTATCTACCCCTGAATCGTCAACTCTGCCAAGAAGCCTCGGTCCTAACCGCCTGCCTAAACAATCTGGAGCACAAAACAAGGATAAGTTGAACATTATTATAAAAAAAAAGGCACAAAAGAATCAACTATCAGAAATTCAGAATCTAATCTAACATAAACAAGCAAGCTCATTATTTTGTTCTATCAATATACAACAACACAACGACATGGCTTTCCAGTCAATAACGCATGCAAAATATCCATATTCATTCCTTACATGAGAGATTTAATAGCATACAAGTTTCATCAATACACATCACCAAAACATCTTCATCACTAAATTCTGAGTTCAAGTTCAGTCTAAACCATGCAAACGAAACTGTATGTATTGGATTTGTCACACACTGCAAACTCTTAAATCTCACATTCCACTTTCATCGAAAACTAAAATGCTAGCTTCAAGTAGAAGCACCTCGGAATGCAGAATCAAGTCCAATGGAAGCTCAACCAAGCATACGATAAACCACCCAATCTCCTTTCAGATCCCAAAATAAAGAGGCATAAATACTAACCAGTAGCTAAAAAAAACTCCCTCTATAAAATCGATCAATGCACATTAACACTCCAGCTACAATTCCTAGCTCCCTTATAACCACACACCATAGAAAATCAGTCATCGAGTATTAACTCCCAAACTACAACTTATACCCCCCACATAACCACCAAGACAAAAATGCCCCGCAGTGCATCCAATCAGAAAATTCATAGCTCCCACCTAACCACATCACAAACGCATCGCAACACAAAAAATCAAAAGCTAATGGAATTTCAAGCATACACTTAAACAAGTTACAATCAATTGCATTGACACAAAACTTCCTAGTTCAATGCCTTAATATTCATCACACCATAGAAAATCGGTCAACGAGCATTAACTCTCAAACTACAATCTATACCCCACATATAACCACCACGACAAAAATGCACCGCAGCACGTCAATTCAGAAGATCTATAGCTCCCACCTAACCACAACAAAAACACACCCCAACATGAAAAATCAAAAGCTAACGGAATCTCAAACATGCACTTAAACAAGTTACAATCAATTGCATTTACACTTAAACACTTCCAAGTCCAATGCCTTAACATTCATCACCATTAAAAAAAACATTAATTTTAAACACAAGCACAAACAATTCAACAAACATACAAGACATGAACATATTTCAAGTTTGACTCAAAATCAAAAATCAAGATCTAGCTCTAAACAACAACATCAGCAACCAAGATCAACTTGCGCCACAATGTTCTATCCAGAACCATGCTTCTACCCGAATCGTTAAACTAAGAACAATTGAAATCAAACATGTTGTTAATATAATTCAAAAAAAAAAAAAAAGGAATAATAGTAAGTACCAAAAGAGGAGCACTTGTTGACACCTTCAAGGGTAACAAGAGCAGTGAGAATAAACACAAAGGGCAACAAGAAAGCTAAGATAAGAATGGTATGAAAAAGGGTTCGATAGGAAATGTGGCGAGCTGCGACCTTGATCTTCATTAAGTCAATAAACCCATTGTTTGTTGTGCTCGATATTGTGATACTTCTCATACTAGGCGAGAAGTGAAGCTGCATCGTCGTTTATGCATATGCAGCCTCACATCCACAACAACCCTAGCAAAACAAGAGTATTCCCAAATCAACACCAACAACAACCTTACCCATTTCATCAATACCAACACCATCAGATTCAGATCCACCAATCGTCCTCAGATCGACGCAGTTTTTGATTTTCCTCTTGGTAATTTCGGTCTTCTGCAAGACCACATTTGGGGATTTTGAACGTCCAAATTAGGGTTATGAAAAAAAATTAAATTTTTTTCTGGATTGGGGAATTGAGGTTAAGTATAATTAACTGGAATGAAGAATTTGAAGATTTTGAAGATTTGTTTGTAGTTGGAGTTTCTCTCCCATGGATGAAAGGAGAGAGAAAGGAAGAAGAAAGAAGAGAGAAGAGAGAGAAAATTATGGGATGTGTTTTTTTTTAGTTTTGTTGGTTGTTTTTGTTTGGTTTTTTTTTTGTTTTTTTTTTCTTTTGGTTTGTGAGGATGCGTTTGATTGGTCCGATCTATGATTTCGATTTTCACGGAAAATTGTATTAATTTATGATGAGAGAGAGAAGAAAGAAAATGTGAGTCAAAATTCAAAAGCGTGTGATGGGAGGGAGTGTTTGACCTTGTGATTAGGGAGTAGGGTGTGAGATTAGAGCTAAATTTAGATGTTGACTATGTTTAAGGACAAGAGTTAAGGATTATCTGGATAGGAGTAGTTAATGTTTTTTGGTTAAGGTTAATTTGTTTGTTCATTTTAGTGTTAGTGTGAGGTAGTGTATGTGGATTGTGGAGTTTAATTTTATATACTCCATATATTAGTAGGAAATTAATTTTATATTGGTGATAATTTTTTTTTAGTACAAAAGAAGGTAAGATTTAAAAAAACTAAATTTAGGCAAACATTTCTAGGCGTGTAAGTTCTAGAAATATTATCAAGGAGGATCTTGTAGAGTTTTATAGAAGGAGACTCTCAAATTAAAATATTTAAGAGTATTTTTTATCTCATTTATAATGGTAGAAATGTTGAGACTGAATAAGTGAAAAACATAAGAAGGAGAGGTTGAATTGAAATTTAAAAATCAAAAGCAATTGACACGATGATTTTTATCCTGCTTCATTTGATTTCAAACTACTTCAGTCCACCCGGCAAGGTGATTTCGTCTCTCTCCAACGAGGACTTAATTCACTATCAAACTGATTACAATTCTACTTTGATAACTGCCAAAGTCTTCTTGAGTACAACCACAACTCGTTTTATCTCAAATAAATTCACTAATCAAAAGAAGAAATAATATGTGTACTAGTTGTTTTTCGTTATAAAAACTGTATCACAAACTTGTGATGTATTACACAATTTTAGATAATAGTATGAATATGATTTTGCAGCATTGAGAGATTGTCTAAGCAGTTGTGTAAAATCGTGAACGATTTAGCCTTGGTGCTTGTTTAAATAGGCGTGGCAATCTGTCCAAATAGAAATATAATAATTGGCACTTAATGCACTTTCTATAATATGAAGATCCTTGTTGATTGTAGCCATTGTAATTGATACTACTTTAATGGAAAAGTAACGCTTCAGGACATAAGGAACTTGCTTGTTGCTTTGCTTTAGAACTTGGAAAGTCAGAATCATAAGGTTCTGTTTGCACGTTAGACTTCCGTTCAGAATTAAGATGTCTTTCTCTTTAGCGCAAATTCTGATCTTCATTCTTCAGAACATTCTGATATCAGTCTGCTTACTCAGCTTGAGCGCCTTTGTAGCTTAACTTTTGATCCACTTCTGTCAGAACTTCTGTACAAAATAGAACACAAATTTAGATTGCATATTTGTTCTTTGTGTTTATTATTTTCAAAACTCTTACGAGGGTTGTAGAATCAAACTATGTTATAACAATCTCCTCCTTTTTTATAATGACAAAAACTAGGATTTTTCAATAAAAATATACAGAACAAAAAGCTTAAGAGAGTCTCCCCCTGAGTTGGGTACTCAAATAGAGATGAAATACTTTCCTGAAGTTATTTCTCATCAGAGCTTTTGATGCATCTCCTTCTGTCTTTATCAGAATTTGTTCCTGTTTATGCTTTCAGAAGAAAAAAAATAAGAAGTTAAGATGTTCAGAATGTTTGAGACTCTGTCCCGGTAAACTGTTATTGAAAATATCTTACGTTCTCCCCCTTTTGTCAGGAATCAAAAAGTAATAGAATCACAAATAATTAGAGTCAAAAAGGATGATTTGTATTAAAACAGATTGCAATGACATCTTTCAGAAGCAGATAAGATAAGATGAAGAATACAGAAAACAAGTTAAAAAATCTAAGATGGAGGGGGAAGTCGTGTGAACAACGCTTCCAGCAAGCTCTTAATCTGAGTGCTTGATTCTTCTTGCTTTCCCAGTATATCCTTGATTTCTTTGGTTGTGTCTTCTTGCTTATCCAATCTTGCGTGGATTACAGCATTCTCCTTCTTTAGCTCTTCCAGAGTTTGCATGACCAAAGATGGAGTTGGTGTTTCCTCAGAGGTTGCAAGTCTTTCAGAATACTCTGCAGCATCTTCTGATTCAACTGCTTCTTCAGTTGCATTTTCCTTTTCTTGAATAACAACCAGAGGGTGACTATTAGAACATGGTTCATTAACTTCTGAAGGTTGGTGCTCTTTCCAGGGAGCATTGTCTAGCAGAAGAATTGGCTTATTTTCCCAGTGGCTCAGAACTTGATCTTTGAAGGCTTTCAGCTGATCACTGAAGTTCTTTTGAGCCATATCATAACTCAATTCTTTCAACCTTTGGGATTCAGAGTTGAACCATTTTCTGAATCGATCCCAAAGAGAATCAGAAGCAGTAGGATTTGAAATCTCTAGACTTGCTTGCTTTAAAGAATTAACCCATTCCTGTAATTCTGTTTCAAAAATCAATAAGTTCTCACCAACATCTGTTTTGGTTATGGTTGGCTTAGGTTTGGGAATGGTAATTTTATTGGAGGTTGAAGCTAGGTGGTCCAGTGCTTCTAAATCAATGACTGTTCTGAGATGATCAGTTGGACGGTTAATGGGAGAGGGAGTGGGAGAATCAGATATTATGATTGGTGAACGAGGAGTGTTAGGTGGTGTGGAATGATAGTGTGAAGGTATTCCTAGAATGTCTAATATGGAGAGAGGTTGACAAACCATAAGAGGTTCTATTATTCCAGGAATAGGGGTAGTGGTATTAGAGTCTGTAAAAGAATCTTTCGATTGGCTTGCGGTAGCGTGTTGATTTTCTGGTTCAGGGGTTTCAAAGTTTGGATTTTCAGTTTGGGGAGTGTGGGGGTTTTCATTTTCTGGTTGAGGAGAATGGAGGTTTGGATTTTCTAAGATAGGTGATTGAAAGTCTTGATCAAATAGTTCAATATCAGAAAGAACTCTTGCAAGTTCTGGCTGATTTTGTTCTAGATTTGGATTGGGAGAGGGAGGTTCATTTAAGAAGGTGCCAAGGGTTACAGAAGGATCAAACTCTATGTCAAAATCCTCAAAAGTTTGAGGTGAGGGATCTTCTGTTTGTTGACAGGAGATGGTTTCAGATGTCGGAAAAACTATAGATTCTACAACAGAAACAAAGGAAGTGTCACCTTTCTTTTTAGCAGCTTTGGGTGTCCTCTGAGAAGATCCTTCTCCTGATGCCTTTCTCTTTCTGGATTTCTTCAATACAACATCTAGAGCTGGATTGTGAAGATCATGAATGTTAAGTTCTAGATCTGTTCCATCTTCCTTGCAAGCTTCAAGGTATCTGACCACAATCTTTGGAGAAGCATCAATCTTAGAAAATAATGGAAAATCTTTCAGAGGGATTCTCCTTGATGTGATGACTTCATGAGTAGAAAATGTTGGTTCCTTCTTAATGCTTTCAATAATCTTCATTTTCTTCAGATTCTTGGCATTAAGTGGTTTTCCAGCACTTGCCTCTAGAGGGCTAATTTGCTGAGCCTCTGTCAGATGCTCTATCAACCTGTTCTCTGTCAGAATATCAGATATCAATCTTCCCAGAGGAATCCAATTCCTCTTTGTCCTTTTTTATTCCCTTGTTTCTTTCACGCTTGTTCTCAGATGATTGAAGAGCAAGTATGGAAGATTTATTTTGGTCTTCTTTGAAATAAAATACAACAGAAATTGTTGATCAATGTTGATGTAGTCAGGAGAGCTTATTGGCTTCCTGTGATTTATACATCCCAAAATGATCCTGGCCCAGATTCTGTAGTAATCCTTCAAGTCTCTTATCTTGCTGGGTGGATGTCCATAAATAAAAATAACTCTAGCAATAGTTTTTAGGTCATAACACTTTTCAGCCATGTCGCTGCACCTAACTCTACCGCCATTGTACCCAATCAATTTTCCAATCAAGTGTTTTGTAATCACTATCTTCTTCGCCATTACGTAAGACGTAACTTGATGATTAGATGAAGTAGCATGAATATATAATTCCTTAATAAGAATAGGGAATACTGGACCTAGCAGATGATCAAAGTACTTATTCCAGCCTTGAGCCGTTACATATTCAGACAAATCAAAACCATTTTCCTTTAAGCTTTCAAAATCGATGATTAACTCACATAAAACTTCAAGAGAATCGACCGGAGTGAGAAAAGTTCTTATGGGTTCCTCATACTGTCCAGCTGTTGAAGAAGAACCATAAGCACTTTGGAGATTTTTTATGCTTGAGGAAGATGCCATTGTTCACACCGTTTGTTTTGAAATTACTGAGAAAATGGTTTTTTCAAAACAAAAGTAAGAGAGAATAATATATGCAAGAAGAAGTGAATGAAATAGTGATTGTGTATTTATAAACGGTTTTGAAAACTTAATCAGTAAGAAAGAGAAAATAAAGTAATGATTATACTATAATTATGAAACCTGAAAATAGGGGATTGCATGTAGATACTGAGCAGTTACCATATACGCGTGTCTCAATGCATCTAATCAGAGCCTTAGACCATTTAGAATTTGAACGCGTGTTCAGCCTTAGAAGGTAGCTTTTAAGAGGATGACAGATGTTTGATGGTGTGAACTGCACGCCTCTATCTTTGAAATGAAAGGTTCAGATCTTCTTAGATAGATTCTGAAGCAACTGTACTCCTAACTTCTGAAGACATGTTGATGAGATGTTTCACAAAGAAAATATAAAGTTCTGAGGGTTACAGAATATATAAATAAAACTTCTTATTTTGGACATAATTTCATGCTGAGATGTTTCAGAATGAAATTAAACCTATCTTCAGAAAGGGGTTTTGTAAAAACATCGGTCCATTGATGGTCTGTGTCAATAAATTTTAAAGTAAGAATTCCTTTCTAAATATAGTCCCTAATAAAATGATGTTTTATTTCTATATGCTTAGCCCTAGAATTCAAAATTGTATTTCTATATAAACATATTGCAGAAGTATTATCACAAAAAATAGGGATGTTACTCTCAAATATGTTGAAGTCTTCAAGCTGACTTTTCATCCAGAGCATTTGTGTGCTGCATCCAGCAGCTACAATGTATTCAACTTCAACTGTTGACAATACAATTGTGGACTGCCTCTTGCTGGTCCACAACATCAGATTGTCTCCCAGAAACTGGCAGCTTCCAGAAGTACTTTTT